AGCAGCAATGGTGACAGGGGAACAAAGTCATGGAATCAGTCTACCTAAAGAATGCTCCATATTCACAGCTGAAGCCCGCGCTTTACTTTTAGCATTGGAGTACATAGAAAATGCACAACAAAAGAAATCCATCATTTTCACAGACTCTAAATCATGCCTCCAAGTTATGGAATCTTCAACAAATGATCATCCTTTGATTGACAATATTTTAACTAAAGTTCACCAACTACAAAATCAGTTTTATCACATCATTTTTTGCTGGGTTCCTGGACATGTCGGGCTTTTAGGCAATGAGCGAGCTGATGCAGCTGCTAAAGATGCTTTGAAACAAGTAATAAACAAATGCCAAATTCCTCCGTCAGAGATGAAACCTTTTATCAACGCTTACATTTTTAACAAGTGGCAAAAGGAATGGGATGCATTAGAAAACAATAAACTACATGAAATCCAACCTGAAGTTTCACACAGAATTTTAAGACATTTTAAGAATCGATTTGATCAAGTAGTTTTTACCAGATGCCGTATTGGACATACGAGAATTACACATGGATTTTTGCTCCAAGGTGAAAACCCCACTCAGTGTTTGTGCTGCAAAACTCCTATCACTGTAAAACATATTTTACTGGACTGTCCTGCTTTTACTGATTCCAGAAGGACTTTTTATGAAATGAACTCTTTTAAGGACATTTTTGACAAAGTGGAACCAGAAAATATTTTAGAATTTTTATCATGTATTAACACAAAAAATCTTATTTAATTTATGTTTTATTTTGTTTGTTGATTTTTAAATTGTATATTTATTGTTAAAAGATTCCTGCCATGAAGATAGCCTTGGTTGCTGACATGGCACTAAATAAAAAATACATTACATTACATTGGACTATTTATTGTTAAAAAAATTACAATACCTATTATTTCCTTTTTATATACTATAACAAAAACAGAATAAGGATTTCAATTAAATCAATATCCACTCCTGTTTTCATCAAATCATTGATATTTTAAACCAATTCTGGTACCACAATTATAAATAATTTGTTGAAACAAATGACTTTTTTATTATTATTTATTTTACTGAAAAATCCCTTTCAATGAAATATTTAAGAAAGTTTAAAGTTGCTGCACATTCACCGGTGCCCGGTTTCTGCCTCTGAATGAGCGAATTTTAGCTTCTTGTACATTAGGTTATCATTTAGAAAAAACAAAACCCCTTTGAAAAAACTAGACACAGAGGAACATAAAAACCCACTGCCAGCTAACATTTCAGAGGTATCATTATAGAGCAACACAAACAGCACACTGAAGTATATCAATGCACAGCTACTTACAAGGCAAGCGCAGTGGATAACGCCTCTCACTCGATGCAGTTGAATCAGCCTTTAAAGTCTGAGGCTGATTTATTCTTCTGCTGCCACTTTGAAGCCACATGATCTCTAGTCAAGTATCATGATGGACCCATTCTTGAATCTTACTTGCACTAAATTGACGATGATTGTAAGTTGCGCCTTAAGACAACATATTTTCCATTACATTTAAATTATTATTTACTTTAAAATATTTGTTTACAGAAGATGCAATAAATGCACTGCTTAAATTATTATTTTCAGCATATACTATAGTTATTTTCTTTAGAAGAGATGCTGCTTATTTTCTACTTTTAAAATGAAATTATTTTGTTTCCAAAAGTGCAAGATAATTTTTTAAACTTTTTTATAAGTAAAAAGTGACTGTTGGTTTTAGACAATGTGTGTTTTAATTTCAGTTGTTCAACACTGATGTTTAATAAATAATCACAGATAGTAGATAGTGTGTATGTCTCCTTCAATTACTTTAAAATTAAGTAATGCACCCTTCTTTCAAAACATCTCTAACATGTAATGGGTGAGCTTATTTACTGTACAAAACTTGTCAGCGATATATGAAGGCAAAATGTTCATACAGTTGAAGTCAGAATTATTAGCCCCCCTGTTTATTTTTTCTCCAATTTCTGTTTAATGGAGAGAATATTTTTTTTCTAATCATAATAGTTTTAATAACTAATTTCTAATAACTGATTTATTTTATCTTTGTCATGATGACAATAAATAATATTTTACTAGATATTTTCCAAGACACTTCTATACAGCTTAAAGTGACATTTACAGGTTTAACTAGGTTAGTTAGGTTAACTGGCAGGTAAGGGTAATTAGGCAAGTTATTGTATAACGATGGTTTGTTCTGTAGACTATCGAAAAATATATAGCTTGAAGAGGCTAATAATTTTGTCCTTTTAAAATGGTGTTTAAAAAATGAATATCTGTTTTTATTCTAGCCAAAATAAAACAAATAAGACTTTCTCCAGAAGAAAAAATATAATCAGACGTACTTTGAACATTTCCTTGCTCTGTTAAACTTAATTTGGAAAATATTTAAAAAAGAAAGGAAAAAATTACAAGGGGGGCTAATAATTTTGACTTCAACTGTATATTTATAAAAATAAAATAATTGTTTATTAATTGTAATCGAGTTAAAATGTTCAATTTATCGAGATTTTGATTTTAGGCAAAATCGCCCAGCCCCACCTTACAGTTCGTGTGAAAATCTGTTTAATCTTTAGAAAAATTTGCTGAACTGCAAGTTAGAGAGGCAAATTTTGTATCGCACAACAAAACTATTTCTCACAGATATGGTAATCAACTTAAAAATTGTCATGTGAAAAAGTAGATGCTGTTTTGCACTTATTTTAATTACATACTCTTTGTACTCTTCTGCTATGTGTCTTTATCAATTCACTGTATCACTATCTATCATGCTTCTTTTCATGTGTTACAGGTTTTTTTTATTCATATTTCCTAACAAAATAAGTTTCAATCTATCCCTTACAAAAAAAAAGTATGTTTTTATGAATGAATGAAGTTGTAATGGTTGTCATTTTGTGGTACAACCTTCTATATTTCATAATTCATATATGGCAATATATGAAAAATATGGCAAATTTTTTTTTGATTTTGCAATCAGTCTGTTTTAAAATGTTGTTAAGTTTTTGGAATCAGTTTGTTAGCTTGTGAAAAAACTGCTGAAAATGAATATGTTTTTGCTGCTTGTAGTGTCTGGACGAATTAAATGGAAATTTATGGGAATTTTCGTGTTTGAGAAAATTATGCTCAGTTTCCTCTTAATAGACTCCTGTTTGGCTCATTGAACAGTTTTGAACTTGTAGCTTCAGTACTGCACAATGCTTGTTAGCAGTTGAAAAAATATGTAATCTAGCATGTAAATATAGCAGTGTGTTGTGCTTTGAATAATCAGAATGGTCATGTTTGTAGTAATATAGAAATGTAATCTTAGCATTATTAAGTTTGTATAAGTTTCTATTGCCTGTTGTATTTACTGTAGTTGTAATTGCCTTCTTTATCCTCCTGAAGTGTAGTGAATTAAGCTCATAAAATTATGAATATTATGAATGAATAATTATAAGTTATTATTTCATTATGAATATTTGCTGATTTTATTGTTAATGATAGTGTAACCAAAATGACAATAAAATAATTTGCTTATCTGTTAAAGCCTACAATTTGTTTGTCTTTTAATTCAAAGATCAAGTGATTTTCCTGCCCTGGACAAATTAGTCTACATTAACAGATTAGTACAACCTGTAGCTTTATCTGTGAGTTTGATAACTTTTTCTATGTGTAAAATCTAGCAATCCATGTGGGCTCAAACGTTCAATATTAGTTATGAAAAGGTACAGATAACACCTATATTTAAAACATGCATGTACTCTATAGAAAGAGAGGGAGAGAGTGTGTGTGTGAGACAAAAGAGAAAGGAGCCAAGAGGCCCCAAGAAGCCAGAAAGGCAAGAGAAAGAGAGTTGCAGTTCAACATCAGTAACCCAAATCATAGCAGCGTTTCCATCCAACAAGTCAAAGGGTACAAAAGCGTCACTCCTTGATAATGTGGCACCAAATATCAACAGTAAAAACAGAATTTTCTGCGGTATGAGAAGCTGCGGGAAGATTTTATTACTTAAATAAACCACTTTCGCCTCCGATCCTGGAACACAGTGAACACTCAGTGGAATTTAAAGACATGATATGCGGAGAACGGAAGCTCTTGATTCTGAAGGTCATCAATAATATAATAACACTAATACTGAAATGGTTGAATGACCTAAACAACAGTGTGCTCAGCCTGCTGGTTTGTCCATT